ATCTGAATAAGATAAAAATGTCACCTGAAATTCTCAACAAGTGTTCCATCGAATTTTGCAGACCGTCTAGTTTGTCTTCAGTTTGTTCGCAGAATAATGCAGGACCCAACATTGACTTCATGATAAAAATATACATGATACGTATGTGTATATACATATACATACATATACGTAATCACTGTTCACTACTGTATGAAACCTTCAGCTTAAAAAAATGAAGTGGGCCGTTACAGCTCATCGAAAAGATGCAGATCATCCTAGATTTCTGTGCATATGTTTCTGAAAGTGTTTTGTGCATGGCGTGCCCACTTGAAAGCAAGAGCCAACTATCCTGCTTGAAATATTTGAGATCTATCAACCATATGATATGCATCTATAATATATATAACAGTCTTGAAAAGCTATCAGAGCTGGCAAAGAAGAGAGGGAGAGAGAGGGAGAGAGGTAGAGCGAGAAACACCAAAAAAAACTGTTCTGGTGGTTAAGCCACCTATCCCAGAGAAGAATTCGTAGGTGAACCTCCTGTTTTAAGTGCCCAAAAATGCAGGATACCTCATACCTCCCTTTAAATCAAATCAGTTAACAAAATGATGTTCTTAACCACTGGCTGGTGGGGTGCCTTTGTTTTGGACAATCCAAACATGTATACATATATATATATCATCTATAGTACATATTTATACATACATAATAATATATATAATGAGTATGTATATATATATATAAATAATTAGTGTGTGTATATATATAGGGCGGAAGCTGGGGGTTCCCCGGAAGCCAATTGCAATTTAATTGTATGGATATGGAAAATGTTGATTTTATACTGTGTTTTACAGTGTTTTTTGCCTTCCCTTGAAAGTGTTCCATCACTGAAAGTATCAATGTCGGCGCGGATAAACTCGGAGTTTGTCCGCGCAGACAAATGATAAATTTACATCTTCCATGGATGGCCAAAAATGCGTTCAACATTTTTCCCATTGGAATTGCGGTTTCATACATTTTTTCAGTTTTTGTTGATAAGTACAAAATGTCATAATCCACTGGAGAACCATGGACGAAATGAACATCACATATTTTTCATCTTCGCTTTCCCAAACCTTTTTTTTGGCATGGCGATGGAAAATGTTGTTTTTACACTGTGTTTTACAGTGTTTTATGTTTTTCTCTGAAATGGTTTGATCAATCGAACTTTCATTTTCATCGCGGAAGAACTTGACGTTTGTCCGTGCTGAAACAGGAAAATTTACATCTCCCATGGATGACTAAAGATGTGTGGAACATGCTAACCATTTGAAGTGCGGTTTCGTTTATTTTGGTCGTTCTGTTCAGTAGTAGAACATGTGATAATGCACTGGAGAACCATGGACGAAATGAAGAACGCACCTTTTTCATCTTCATGTCCACAAAGGCTGTTTGAAGCAGTTGGCAGGAGCGAGAGCACCATTGGTTTTCTCACGGTGCAGTCGCAGGGCGTTGAGGACAGAGTCAAGACCAGGATTCTTATGAATAACTTGAAACGTAGCAACATCTTCCAACCAAGCAACATCTTCCAGGATTCAACATCATCCAACGCACTTCACATGACGTTATTACACCCCCCCCCACCCCCCCCATCTGTATACAAGAACGACCTTTCTGGTATAGCATCAAGACTGAGGGTTCCTCGAAGCTCCGGGGAACCCCCAGCCTTGAGCATATATATATATATATACAGATATACAGTATGTATATATATATATATTATATATATATGCATGTTATCCCGCCAAACAAATCTGCATGTGCCCAACTGTCCCTTCTGTACATCAAGATCAACATCAGGCCCTGTGTGGATTCATCAAGTCTCGGCATGCGTCAGCACGCGAATGGTGGCAGGGGCACCTCATACAGGTGACCTGGAACGCCTCCAACAAAAACATGGATGTCACCCAGAAAAATTGGCTTAAAGAATCAAAAAAAGATGGGGAAACAAAAAAGTTTTACCCATGCTTTACCCGTCTTAGACTGCAACAAAAAAGAGATCAATTGAAGATGATTGAAGCAACCAACATCATTGGTTTTTACTTGTTTACCAGCAAACAAAAGGAAGGTTGAACCGACCGAAGAAGGGGGTGAACCTGACATGACCAATGATGGGAATGACCTTGGATGCAAAAAAAAACAGTGGGATGCCATCCAAATGCGGATCGCCTTGTGGCCCCTCTTCCTGAAAGCCCCAAAAATGGTCCTAGAATTCTGCATTCCATCCTTCAAAATCCTTCAAACATCCAGTGGGATTGTGGTAGAGACTTGGGTACCCTATTGAATCTCATGATTGATCATCCCCTATTGAAATTGCTGATGTGGGATATCCAATGGATATCCCCCATTTTCGGACAAGGGTTGCCACTGCCACAGCCATCCGCCGCTTCTGAATTCATGGATTCTCTGTGTCACGCAAGACACCTCGGCTCCAAGGCAGCGACCAACCAATTTGTCCCACCAAGGGCATCCAAGGGCATCCAAGGGACAGGTGGCGGGGAGTTGTGCCCTCCTTGGTTCAACACGGACGCCACCTGCACTGGATGGTGACCATTCCCAATAGATTGGATAGATTGGATAGTATCATAGTATCTCCCAATAATCATGAACCAAAGGGGGTTTGCAGCCACTGCTCAATTGAAATTGCCATTAAACCCGGAGCAAATGGCTTTGTCCGAAAATCATGTACCTAAAAAAAACACATGCATTCTCCTCATTTCCCCATACAAATATCAAAAATAGATGGTATACCCCATTTTCAGACCCTCCATTTTCGTGGCAGTTCTTGCTGAAAACAACTAGTGTCTCCACGGCTGCGCTGTCGTCCAAGGATCTTCGTACACCCTCAACCCGCCATCGCCAGCCAAACAAGGCTCAGAGAATCCCTTGAATTCTGCGGTGGATGGTTTTGAGAGACGATTACCTGCACAAACCAGGGCCGCACAACGCATTCGTGGGGCAGATGGGATGGGATGGGATGTTGCTTATAGGAACCGCCAAATGGATCCAAATGAAAGAATTCGCTTTGGTCTAAGCTTTAATGATCTGGGTTCGGCCAGCTTTATACGGCGCAGTACATGTTACTGGATCAGGAGACGAAACTGTCACTGGGGATAACATGTTCCGCATGAAGAAGTCTCTAGCTAAATCCCACGCCCAAAGCATGGTCATATGCAAAAAAACATAGAACCCTTCTTGGTGGTTCACCCCAGTAAGTGGGTTCTTTCGCCCCAGTTAGAACTGACTTCCAAGAATCCATTGTATTGTGCCCATCCCAAGTCTTGCAGCCCTCCCCAAGTCTGACTCAACCATCTGATGCACAATCTGGAACTTGAAGATTCAAAACATAATGTGACTTCCGGACTAAATCTTGTTGTTGACATTGAGCTGGTAGACCCAATGGACTTTTTTTGTTGACTTCTTTCAACCCCAAAAATATGTCTCATCGGGGATCATCATCCCATCTGTTTGGCATTGGTATTACACTCCAGTAAATTAACATAGACCCTGGCAAATAGTTGGAAGACTAGTGTCCACTAAAAAAAACTTATACTGTGGGTCTATGTTAATTTACGGGCAGGACTGAGGGTTGTCCCGGAATGGTCGTATGAACGTCAGTGGGAGGCTCATTTCTCTGCGCAGGCGCAGTGTTTTACGACTCTGGTACATCTGTGGGTTGGTGTGGTCTAAGACATTTTTTTGGAAAAATCAGTCAGAAAAGTGAACCCTCTGCGGACTTCACGCGTTTCGGCCATTTCCACTTTTCCACTTTTTTTCACTTTGATAGAAGTATGTGTATATGTTCCATGGGGCCGGGGGATTTTATAACTTATGTAAACCCTAAATGAAACCCCTAATAGAAGTATGCGTATATGTTCCATGGGTCCGGGGGATGTTATATCTTATGTAAACCCTACATGGCAAGATTCCTTGTTTTCGTCTTGGTGTTCTCTCCCCAAGTGGTCTCTTCTACTTTATCAAGTCGCGAGAGGGCAAGTAGCTCTTAATCAGCAAACGTGCCTGCAACGGAAAATTATTCCAATCTCTATTGTTCCAACACTCCATGTCTCGAGCGTGTAGGCAGCAGACGTCACTGCGGTTATGAGAAAGAAATGCCCTGGCACTGGGATGATGGGACCAATGGGTTGCTAGCTCCGCTCTCGTGTATGGCCCTCCGGGCCATACCCTCGTCCTGTGGGTTAATTTACCAGAGGGTAAATCATTTTCCTATTCGACCTTCGGGTTTTCTGGACAGCGGCCGCGGCGCCTGTGCGAAAGGTCCAGGAAAGATTCCTCGACCGAAACCTCAGGGTGGGCACACTTTTTTGGACCATGAAGTTTTTGTGGCAACTGGATGGCCAAGATACCGGTGATGGGGAGTTGTGCCCTCCTTGGAGTGCGGTTGCGGTTGCGGGTAAAAAAAAACCGAGAAAAATGGGGTCCCAATTTGGGATGTTGGTCGACCCCAAAAGATTGGTTGGTCCAGTGGTCCAGTAGAAACAGCCAAAATTGTGGTTTTTGATGTTCTTTGTATCTGAAAAATTCTGACACAAAGCCATTGAAGCTACGTAAAGATTCCATCTGAGATATGACATGCAGAATAATTCTGGCACAAACAAATATCCCAAACAGATTACTCAGCAAATACGCAATGAGTATTGCCTGCGATCAGGGTGAGTTGGCCCCTCTTCATATGGTCCCATCATGGTGACTGGCCTATAGCGTCTGTCCCTTAGTTGCGCACTACTGGGAAATGCGAATATTAACATACGTGTGTCAAAACGCCTGAAAATCGAATGGCAAAAGAAATCCCGAGGGTTCAAAACCTCATTTTCCCCATCTCAGAATCGCTATTTGGGGCCTCCAATTTCTTCCACAAACCCACCTGACCGGCACCGCGGCACCGCCAGTCCAAGGATCTTCGTACACACTCAACCCATCGACACGTTGAGCCGTCAAGGCTCTGGATCCGTGAATCTTCAGCGGTCCTGGGGAGTCTCAAAACGTGTTGAAAAAAATTATCCAACGGATGTTGGGTGGATAGAAGTTGTGTATATATATATATATATGTATACATGTATATATATATATATATGTATATATACATATATATATACATATATACATATATATATATATACATAGTATACATATGTATATATATATATATACATATATATATATACACATATGGTCACCCCTCCCACCAGGGCCTACCTTGAGTTTTTTTTTCGTGGTATTTGCAGCAGAAAAACATTTATTTTATTGTCCAGTTTTTTGTGTGATTTACACACTACCACACAAGTACGGTACAGCTTAATTCTTGTTTTCTTGCAGTTCCTCAATTGCCACCTGGTTACTCCACATCCTAAGACTCCGAGGTTGCCTTCCCTTCAAAGTAAAGTAGCCTTTGTAGATGAATTAGGGTGAATCAGGGTTATGTTTGTTCAAAAAATTGTTCACTTCTTTCATTGGGATGTAGTACTGCAACACAATCACATGGAAACACTAGAATAGTGTCTTCCCAGAATTCAAAACAATATATTTCTGCCTGGGAACTACATGACTTGAACTTCTCCACTGCAATCTTGCATTGTCTGTCGAAGCATTCCATTGGATGTATTTTGCTTTCCAAGGTGCGTTTTCTTCTTGGATTTGGCTACATTTTGAAACCTATATCGACCATTGTCATGAAGTAATCCATTTTGCACATGAAAGTGTTTTTGTTTTTCTCTGAATCAGGTTTCCTCTTTGTGAACATCACATCACAATATGACCAAATAGCCCTGCTAAATTTCCAAAGGATATATACAGGAAAAAAAACTCATGAATTCTCAAAAATTTCGCGCCCCTTGAAGTTATATTCTAGTTAATGGTCGAAGTACATACAATGTTGAATGAACAATACTTGCTGTTTGAGCGACACAGCGCAGCAGTTGATCAAAGAAAATGCAGCATGTTGAGCTGAAGGCAAAACTGCAAACAATGCCTTTCAGTTGCTCTCACTCCCCAAAGAGGATTATGTAGTTTATTAACTCTGTACCTGTGCTCATTTCAAGCAAACAATGCTTTGAAGAAACTAGGTTTGTAAAAGTGTAGTTTTCATTGCAAATATGCAGCATCCCCTTCAACCAAAAAAAGTGGTGTCATTTAAAAGCTGGTGGTTGCCTTTGAGCTGGCACACTTTTTTTTAGGAAAAAAATCTCCTTATGAAGGTTGGAACTTTTTTTTAAAAAAAAATGTTTCAGTGAAAAAAATATTGACATTTTGTATTAGTCCTCTACAAAGTGTATTGTGTTTTAAAGTGCGGCATTCCTGTTTTCTTTCTTTATCATGGTAACATTCCCTCCAACAGATGTTGTTTTCTTCAAAGATTGAATACTTAAACTAAAGCTGCAACCTTGTTAAACAACAGAAACAATATTGTTTCAGAATATGCAGTGTATCCTTTGAAGATGTAGTACTCCTCTCAAAGAAACTCAGCTGTCCTTTATGTTCGATGGTAACACCATTTCTTCGAACATATGCAACACTCCGTTCAAACAAACCCAGCTGCCCTCTATCTTGACAGGAACACCACTTATTTGAACGAAAGATTTCACTTGTCAAAAAGGAAAATTGAATTAGCTGCCTGGTGGAGGGGGTGAGCATATATACATCTATATAGATATACAATGTATAAATTTACATATAAACACATCTATATATATATATACACATTTTTACACATATATACACATATATACACTCTGATACACATATTAACATACATATATATATATATACATATATATACATATGTACACATATATACACATATACACATATATACACATATATACACATATAGACACATATATACACATATATACACATATATACACATATATACACATATATACACATATATACACATATATACACATATATCCACGTACATATACATACACATATAAACACATATCTACACATATATACACATATATACACATAGATACACATATATACACAGATATACACATATGTACATTGATACATACACATATATACACATACATACATTTAAATATATATACACATATATATACATATATATATACACACATATGTACACATATATACCCTATGTACAACTATATACATACATATATATATACACATTTATACACATATATACATTTTTATACACATACATATATACATACACATATGTACACATATATACACATATGTACAATTATATACATATATATATATATCTAAATACATATACACAAATATACATTTTTTTCACATATACATATATACATACACATATGTACACATTTATACACATATGTACACATATATACACATATGTACACATATCTATACACATGTGTATATATATATATACATATATACACACATATATACACTTTTCCCATATTCACATACATATATCGATATATTGACATATATGCACATATGTACAATAAAATACATATATATATATACATACACATTTATACACATATATACACATATATACACATATATCCACATACATATACATACACATATAAACACATATATACACTCTGATACACATATTAACATACATATATATATATATACATATACATATGTACACATATATACACATATACACATATATACACATATATACACATATAGACACATATATACACATATATACACATATATACACAGATATACACATATATACATTTATACATACACATATATACACATACATACATTTAAATATATATATACACATATATATACATATACACATCTTTACACATAGATACACATATATACACAGATATACACATATATACATTTATACATACACATATATACACATACATACATTTAAATATATATATATACATATATATACATATACACATCTTTACACATAGATACACATAAACATATATACATATGTATATTTTTATACATATATGTATGTTTATATGCATATATACACCTACATACACATATATTCACATATATACATATGTATATCTATTTACACATACATGTATTTACACATGTACATGTATATATATATATGATATACATATATATATATACACATATATCTATACATATATACACATATATATACATACACATATACATATATACACATATAAACACACATATATATATACATATATATATACATATGTATATTTTTATACATATGTGTGTTTATATATGTACACACATATACATATATACGTATGTACACATATATACAATTATATACATATATACATCTTTACACATATATACACATATGTACAGTTAGTTATATATATATATGTATCAAAAAATGCAAGCCATCATGTGGGTTCCATGGCCAGCCCCCCGTGCTGCACCTGTGCAGAATGGCCTGGAAAGAATCCTCGGCCGAAACCTGATCAGAGGGGCTCAGAATCAGCTGAGTTGCCATAAGGAAAACATAGGAAAACCAATCAAAAGATATCGAATCACGAGAAAACCTATCAATATGCATCGAAATTCGGTGGTATAAAACCTCATTTTCTAAGATGTGTTCCCTGTCAAAATGGCCGAAACTATACAACAATCAACCAGCAGAGGTTCTCAGCATTGTTCAATGTCTTGAATCATACATCGCAGAGTCTGTCACGATGACTCACCAGAACTAGAACCATGCCTGGCGGTGCCCCCAAGCTGGCATCAAAGGGAATCTGGCCACGGCATTCAAGGCTTGGAGGCCATTGGAAGATGTGGCTTTGGCTCAAAATGACTGACGGGGCCCATTTCATACGAAAAATCTGGACACCCCTTATTGGTTATTGGTTTATCGCATTGGATTATCTTCAATTTCCACAAAGATAACCCGTTTTGACCATGACTTTTTGCCATGCCTGAGGAAAGGGTGGAGCATGGGCAGCCGTGCTCATACTGATCTCTGCCATCCTTGATCTGCAATCTGCATGCATGAGCCTTGGCTGATGGCAGGTTTTACAGCAAGTTCTATTGGCTGATATGAGTTTTACCTACATCAACCTATGTATATTTATATACATACATACATACATATATATATATATACAAATATACATATATGTATATACATATATATATATATATATTTATTTATTTATTTATATATACAAATATATATATATGTGTGCATATACATGCATACAAATATATCAACATATACGTGAAAAAATACATATATATACATATATATATATACGTACATGTATATATATATATATATATACATATATACATACATACATACATACATACATATATACATACATACATACATACATACATACATTACATTACATTACATTACATACATACCATACCATACCATGGCATAGCATGGCATACCATACCATACCATACCATGCCGTACCATACCGTACCATACCATACCATACATACCTACAAACATAGATTACATACATACATTACATACATACATACATACATACATACATACATTACATACATATATATATACATACATACATACATACATACATTACATACATACATACACATATACATATACATATACATATACATACACATACACATTCACATACACATATACATACATATACATAAATTTACATACATATACATACATACATACATACATACATACATACATACATACATACTACATACATACATACATACATACATACATATACATACATACATACATACATACATACATTACATACATACATACATACATACATACATACATTACATACATTACATACATACATACATTACATACATTACATACATACATACATTACATACATTACATACATACATACATACATACATACATTACATACATTACATACATTACATACATACATACATACATACATACATACATACATACATACATACATACATACATACATACATACATACATACATACATACATACATACATACATACATACATACATACATACATACATTACATACAAACATACATACATTACATACATTACATACATACATACATACATTACATTACATTACATTACATTGCACTGCACTGCACTGCACTACACTACATTACATTACATTACCATACATACATACATACATTACATTACATTACATTACATTACATTACATTACATTACATACATACATACATTACATACATACATACATACATACATAACATAACATAACATAACATAACATTACATTACATTACATACATACATTACATACATACATACATGCATACATACATACATACATACTTACATTACATTACATTACATTACATGACATGACATTACATACATACATATTTACATACATACATACATACATACATGTAATATCCCATATTCCGTCACTTCCAAGACGATCCTCATGCGTTGGAGCCGTGATGCTGGAGCCATGGTTTGGACTCTTTGCTCCGATTGAATCAGTCACGATGATTTGCAAACAATGAAAATCAACAGTACGGTCATTGTAAACAATGAAAAGTTCCCATATAGGAACCTATCATTCATACTGTTGATATCTGTTGATATCTGCTGATCTCCTACCGAATCGGCCAGCACAAAACCGCACCGAAAACGCACCGAAAGACGAGAGCTGCTGCTTCGCCAGCTGGATCAATGAAGTAGCCTGGCTAGGCAGAAGAAAGCTACACCAAATAATGGGGTGATGGATATGTATATATATATATATATATGGCAAATGGTCAAAATGCTGTTTCCCAGGTTATCTGGAAAATGGTCGTTTACTATGGGGCCCGTACTAAACGGTTCACATGTGGCATGACCTCCCCTCATGTACGTGGAAACGTAGTTGAGCTGCAAAACGTGTGAAAAAAGCACTAGCGCGGTGAAATTCCAGGGTCATCAACAAAGCCCGAACGCAATGCTTTTCAAGCGTGCGACGAATCTGACGAACTGGAGTTGTCTGACTCTGTACTAAAGGCACCGATTGTGAGCCATCAAGCTTGAGGGAAGGCTTTATAAGGAAGGCTTCTGTTTGTAAGAATAGCCGCGCGGAACCCGCGCGCGCGATCCGCGCGCTTTAAATACTAAACCAGTGAGGATCCAGCAATTACATGAAATTTCTCTAGTAAACCACAGAGCTTTAGTTGCCACCATGTACTACTGCTTTGTATTTGCATACCTCGACCGATCTTGCTTGCGTGCTGGCTACCTTTGACTACCACAACTGCTTCTCAGCAAACTTATGTTGTTGATTGTTCAGCGTCCACCAGAGAGACCTGGGATCGAAGCTGTAGTCTATGTGCTTTCCTTTGTGCTTCTTTTTGAAGATTGAATAGGCATCCCGGAGTGGTCAGAAACAAGTCAGAAACAGGTCAGAAACATGCAAAAAGGAGCCTTTGCCCACGTCCATCCATCTATCTATTGGTTTATCTTTCCATAGATCCACCTTTTGTTCATTGATCCATTTTTATACCTAATATATATGAATATGTACCTATCTATGAATTTTCGCCTCAACATGCTGCTGCCACCTTAACGAAATGTGAGAGTGATGTGGGTGCTGTTGGACATTTCTGAAAAAATAAAACCAATAGTAGTAGTAGTATTAGTAGTAGTAGTAGTAGTAGTGGTAGTGGTAGTGGTAGTGGTAGTGGTAGTAGTAGTGGTAGTAGTAGTAGTTGTTGTTGTTGTTGTAGTAATTGTAGCTGTAGTAGTGGTAATAGTCGTAGTAGTGGTAGTAGTAGTAGCAGTAGTAGTAGTAGTAACAGTAGTAGCATCAGTAGTAGTAGTTGTAGTAGTAGTAGTACTGGTAGTACTAGTAGTACTGGTAGTACTGGTAGTAGTGGTAGTAGTAGTAGTAGGTAGTAGGTAGTAGGTAGTAGGTAGTAGGTAGTAGGTAGTAGGTAGGTAGTAGGTAGTAGGTAGTAGGTAGTAGGTAGTAGTAGTAGGTAGTAGGTAGTAGGTAGTAGGTAGGAGGTAGTAGGTAGTAGGTAGTAGGTAGTAGGTAGTAGGTAGTAGGTAGTAGGTAGTAGGTAGTAGGTAGTAGGTAGTAGGTTGTAGGTAGTAGGTAGTAGGTAGTAGGTAGTAGGTAGTAGGTAGTAGGTAGTAGGTAGTAGGTAGTAGGTAGTAGGTAGTAGGTAGTAGGTAGTAGGTAGTAGGTAGTTAGTAGTAGTAGTTAGTAGGTAGTTAGTAGTTAGTAGTTAGTAGTTAGTAGTTAGTTAGTTAGTAGTTAGTAGTTAGTAGTTAGTAGTAGTTAGTAGTAGTAGTAGTAGTAGTAGTGGTAGTAGTGGTAGTGGTAGTAGTAGTAGTAGTAGTGGTAGTGGTAGTACTAGTACTAGTACTAGTACTAGTACTAGTACTAGTACTAACTAGTACTAGTAGTACTAGTAGTAGTAGTAGTAGTAGTAGTAGTACTACTACTACTACTAGTAGGAGTAGCAGTAGCAGTAGCAGTAGCAGTAGCAGTAGCAGTGTTAGTAGCAGTAGCAGTAGCAGTAGCAGTAACAGTAGGAGTAGTAGTAGCAGTAGTAGTAGTAGTAGTAGTAGTAGTAGTAGTAGTAGTAGTAGTAGCAGTAGTAGTAATCCTAGTAATCCTAGTAATCCTAGTAATCCTAGTAATCCTAGTAATCCTAGTAATCCTAGTAATCCTAGTAATCCTAGTAATCCTAGTAATCCTAGTAATCCTAGTAATCCTAGTAATCCTAGTAATCCTAGTAATCCTAGTAGTAGTAGTAGTAGGAGTAGTAGCAGCAGCAGTAGTAGTAGTAGTAGCCTTTGCGCTTCTTTTTGAAAATTGAATAGACCTCCCGGGGTGGTCAGAAACAAGTCAGAAACAGGTCAGAAACATGCAAAAAGGAGCCTTTGCCCACGTCCATCCATCTATCTATTGGTTTATCTTTCCATAGATCCACCTTTTGTTCATTGATCCATTTTTATACCTAATATATATGAATATGTACCTATCTATGAATTTTCGCCTCAACGTGCTGCTGCCACCTTAACGAAATGTGAGAGTGATGTGGGTGCTGTTGGACATTTCTGAAAAAATAAAACCAGTAGTATTAGTAGAAGTATTAGTAGTAGTAGTAGTAGTAGTAGTAGTAGTGGTAGTGGTAGTGGTAGTGGTAGTGGTAGTGGTAGTGGTAGTGGTAGTGGTAGTGGTAGTGGTAGTAGTAGTAGAAGTAGAAGTAGAAGTAGAAGTAGAAGTAGAAGTAGAAGTAGAAGTAGAAGTAGAAGTAGTAGTAGTAGTAGTAGCAGTAGCAGTAGCAGTAGCAGTAGCAGTAGCAGCAGTAGTAGTAGCAGCAGTAGCAGTAGCAGCAGTAGTAGCAGCAGTAGTAGCAGCAGTAGTACCAGTAGTAGTACCAGTAGTAGTACCAGTAGTAGTACCAGTAGTAGTACCAGTAGTAGCAGTAGTAGTAGTAGTAATAATAATAATAATACTAGTAGTAAAAGTGAATGGATAGGGGAGGTGGTGGGTGGGTGCTAGGCAACTGCTGCATTTTTGGTGTTTCTGAGCTGTTTCTGAGCTGTTTCTGACTCTTCCACACGCTTTCCTTCAAAAGCCAAAAAATTGAACAAGTATAAAAACTAAAACCAATACGGGTAGTAGTAGTACTAGTAGTAGTACTAGTACTAGTACTAGTAGTAGTAGTAGTAGGAGTAGGAGTAGGAGTAGGAGTAGGAGTAGGAGTAGTAGTGGTAGTGGTAGTGGCAGTGGCAGTGGCAGTGGCAGTGGCAGTGGTAGTGGCAGTGGTAGTGGCAGTGGTGGTGGCGGTGGCGGTGGTCGTGGTAGTGGTAGTGGTAGTGGTAGTGGTGGTGGTGGTGGTAGTGGTAGTAGTAGTAGTACTACTACTACTACTAGAAGTACTAGTAGTAATAGTGGTAATAGTAGTACTACTAGCAGCAGCAGCAGCAGTAGTAGTAGTAGGAGTAGTAGTAGTAGTGGTAGTAGTAGTACCAGTAGTAGTAGCAGTAGTAGTAGTAGTAGTAGTACTCGTCGTCGTCGCAGTAGTAATAATAATAGTAATTGTAGCAGTAGTAAGAATAATTGTAAAAACAATGGTTGCATTTCACTAAATGAGTAAGTAAAAACCCTAGCGCAAAGCTAGCGCCGAGCTAGCGCCAAGCTGGTGATTTGTGTGATTTAGTTGGGGGCCCGCCTTGTAGCGAAGACTAAAATCACACTACCCAGATTTAATTTCCGGACTTTTAATGACTTGCCATACCGGGTTTTTTGATCGACGGATAAATATATACGTACATATATGGGTGAAACCAGATCTATAGATCTATGCGGCAAGTTTTTTGATGTTCCTTTCATTATCTGCTGAAATGGGTCTGTTGACCTGCTGTCCAAAATTTCGGTATCATCAGTATGTTTGACCTGCTGAATGGGCCAAACCATGTAGAACAACCCTCTGGATTCCTCTGGTATTTTCACTTCGCAAGTCAACCTCACTCATTTTGCCACAATCGGTCTATCGTCAGCGGATATTCATCATCTACAAACTCATTAAAAAGTTAGTTGTTTTTCATTGCCAACATAATGCCTTCTAGGGGGTAGTCTCTTTGTTTGACGATTAAATCATCTTTCTCGGTTCAACACCCGTTCTATTCTGCTA